GGAAAAAACAGAAATGTCAACATTCTCATAAACATTTCTACAGAAAAAGATTGGAGAGGGTTCAGGTAAAACATTTTGTTTTGAAAGATTCAAAAACATACAATTTATAAATGAAAAATCTGTATTGAAAGGATAAAATGGAATATTTTGACATTTTTCAAAAGTCTTCATTTGGATTTTGGTTTTCAGTTCCACATGAATAGGTAAGTTGACATGTTCCTATAGGATGTTTTGTTTTTTTCAGTCAACTTTTTCATGGCTTATTTGCCATGACTAGTTTTGGTGTTTTTTTTTTTTTTTTTATTGTATCCCACCTTTAAAAGGAGAAAAATCCTTCCTGCTTTTGACTTGATTTTCAGCACTGTGAAGCACTCCTAATGACCAGTGATTTCAGTAGAAAGAGGTAAGATGTAGGTAGTTTTCCTTGGCATAAATATGAAATCCTGTCCTAGCTGCCAGATAAAATTTTACCACCTCCTTTCTGCAAGAGGTCAGCTTAGAAGAGGATGATAATGACCTGTTTTGGCCCTAAAATCTCTTCAGCTGCTCTTTTTCTCTCACACATGTAGATGAGGAAGGGCAGCCTTTCAATGAAAAATTCTTCTCTGTGGTATTGAAGCCTCTCTGCTACACCAGTGTTTTTTCAAGACCTATTCAGAACTAAAAATGCAGTCAGGAATGAAGAATCCAGCTGTGATCAACTATCTCACAGTAATTTAGAATGCCATGGCTTTTAAATCACTGGAAGTATAAAATTCAGGTGTTATTATAAGGACAAAAAGTTTACTTCAGAATGTTTATGCAGTCAGCACAATTAAAAGCGCTCTCCTTTCTTCTTTTTAAATTTGACTAGTCCTAGCATTGTTCTACTTTTACTTACAGAGAATATTTCTTATAATCATTGTTCTTATTATCATAGTACTGAAAGCCCTAGCCAAGGAACAGGACCCCATTATGCTAAGCTCTGTACAAATAAAAGAATTCAAGGATGGTTTAAAGTGGATTAAAATCTAAATAGAAGAGGAGACAGATAAGTACAGATGGTTGGGGATTTAAAAGGTGCCAGTGAAGCCCCCTCTGCACGTTACAGTTATTGCTCAGTTAGCTGGTTAATTATGCAATTGCCTTGAGACCAGCTACACATGCAAAGTAGCTATGACACCACAAAAAAGCTCCAACCAGCTATAAAGTTAGACCATGAAAACGAGTACTAACTTTACACTCGGTTACAACTGAGGGGACTCTCGGCCCCAGCAACTACCAAATCTGGGTCCCAGCAGCACAGTGACTCAGAGTCCTGAAGCTGTGGATGCTGGGTCATTGCAGGTCGCTTCCTGGTGCTGGAATCCAGTGCTGGGACCCATCTGCAGGGCGCGGCTGTCATCTCCCAGCCTTGGGGCTGCATTAAACCTAGGGTGGTCACTGGCATCCACAGAATACAGGACATCCCCCTTGTTGAGGGGTGTGCTCCCTCAGCCAATCAATGGTGAAGGGTGGGGTTCCTGCCTTGGCCAATCAGCAGCAAGTGGTGGAGCCATCAGAAAAAGGCCACCTCCCTCCCTCTTTCTGTGCCTGGGAACCCTGCTTCTCCTGGCTATGCACCATGCTACCTCTAGGCACAGCCAATAGAATCACAAGGACAAATGACTGACATGCATTTCCACCAATGAACTGAAAAATGGGGCTTTGGTCCTCATTGAGAAATAAACCGGGGACAGCAGGCTTAAAAACAGGATGGTAGGGTATAAAATAGGGCCAAAGGCCACCCTAATGAAACCCCCAGTGCTGGGAGATCATGGCTGCTGTCATCTCCCGTCCCCAGGGGTTTTATGCACACCTGAGACTGGGAGATTGCAGCAACCATGATCTTCCAGCCCTGGCAGTGTCATGCACCCCTAGGGCTGCAGTCCCTTGCTGTAGTCCCCCAGACCTGGGGGGCTTCATGGGGCTGGGAGATTTATTTCCTGGCTTGTGATATCTGATTTATACTACATTACTTTCCTTACTTTACATCTGGAAAAATAAACTGAGCTAGAAAGATGGTTGTCACAGAAAGTGTAGTTTGCAAAAGCAGGATTGGAACTTAGTCCTTCTCCCAGATCACTGTACAATCCCTCTGCATAATAGAATATCTCATGACTGAGCAATCATCTTTAATATGTAGGTGTTATTTTAATTGCACAGGCATGTGCAATAAACACCTTCCAGATAAGTCCAGGCAGAAGTAGCACTACAAAGGTCTTGAGTTAAGCCTGCACAAGAGTAATGCATTAGACACAACAGGTAAACTAAGTCAGAATTTCAAGTCAACAGCAAAACTAAATTGACTTTAACAGACCCAGAATTTGACCTGGTGAATTTAGCCATTCAGTGGGGTCTGCTCCCATCCTCTTTGGCCCTGCACTGGCCCCCTGGAACAGCCAGGGGGAGCTCTAGCCTCCCCCTGGGTGCTAGCCCAGGGCCTGGCAGGGAGCATGGGGCTAGGAGACAGCTGTCACCTGGCAGGGGCTAGGACACTGCTCCCTGTCCCTAAGAGCTGCCTGCTGCCAAGGCAGGCTTGTGGTGAAGCCTAAGCAGGGACAACGTCCCCCTGCCCCGGCAGCAGGGAGCTGCCGGCCCCCGCTCTGTGATCAGAGGCAGAGGGCTTGGAAAGACTGTGCCTTGACTGCCCGATTTGGGGCATGGGACTGGGAAAAATCTGAAGGGCTGGGACCTGCCCCTGACTGGGACAGTCTCCCACCACCTCCAGGCTGCACGTGCAGACTTCTCTGTGCAGCCTAGGACTGGCTGGGAACTGTCAGGGGCAGATCCCAGCCAGCAGGGGCAGATCCCTGGTCAGGGGCAGATCTCAGCCAGCTCCAGGCTGGGTGGGGAACTCCTCCTATGCAGGGAGCTCCCACCCCCTTCTGTACAATCATGATCATTGAGTGAGGGCTAGGAGATTATTCCCAGCCCCAGCTGAAGCTGGGAACAATTTCACAGCCCCACCTCTGCAATCACAGAGCAGGGGCTGGGAGCTCCTTGCTGCCAGGGCAGGGGAACATTGTCCCTGCCTAGGCTCCAGTGACAGAGCCCACCCTGGCAGTAGGCAGCTCCCAGGGGCAGGGAGCAATCTCCTTCCCCTTGCTGCCTAGCTGGCCGGAAGCAAATTTGCTCCTGGTCAGCCATCTACACATGCTGTACTGCACAGTAATTACTCAACAGTTAATTTTCTACTTGTGTTTGCTGGTAGCAAATTAACTGCCAAGTAGAGCAAATTACTGTGCAGTAAGGATCAGCACATGTAGATGATGTCACTTACTAGGCAGTAATTAGCTCTACTGTACAGTAAAGCATCTTGTATAGATGTGCCCGTTATTATTCATGGTAGTAACCATTTGGAGGCTAAACACTTTCTAAGCACTCAGAAAAAATGCTCCCTATTTGAGTCTCCTTAGAATAGCAGCTCCACCAAAGAGTCAACTATGGAATGTAATAAAGCAGAGGTACCAAAAACAAATTATCATCATCAGATCTTTTTCTTTTGCAAAAGGTTGCAAACTACACACAAAATTACCAGTTTGCTTTTGTGATAAAACTTGGAGTAACACAGTGATAACCAGTATGTTATTTTCACTTGCTATAGATTTAAATGTATCAGATTCAAACAATGAAACAACATTTCTTGAAGATGTCCATGTGGCCATAAATGAAACAGAAATTCCAGGTAAGGAAGTCAAGGATAAACTTTCTTCACTGGAAATACAGAGTACAATTTGGATAGTATTTAGAATTCACAGGATACCCATTGGTTAGTTTTGGTTGTTCCTTGAGTTGTTTTGAAATGCTTTGTCTGAGAAGCACTAACAGCATCAGACATGTAAATTCGGAGCTCCATGCTGTTTGTCTTTAGGATAATATGGGTTTGCTGTCATGTGCTTCTTGTCTTGTACAGTCCTTCATGCTAGGGGAAAGCAAAAGCAAAGTGCTGCTCTGCTGAGAATACGCAGTGGTATAAAATGTTATTTACCTTCACACCAAAGTAAATCATTGCACAAGGTGAAGGACAATGGATAATCATGGCCATAGTTTTAAAAATTCCTTTAATTCCCTCAAAGATTTATAAAGAATGAGGTGAGTTCACAAAATATTACAGGCCTGAGCCTAAATTCTTCAAGATAACATATAAAGCACTGTTTATATATAATACTTTTATAGGCAGACATACTCTCCCCTGCAAAATTCTGTACCTAAAAAGAGAATCCTCTCCTGGTGATATTGACCCTAGACATTTTGATCCATTGCAATGGAAGAGGTTTAGGGTTAAGCAAATTTTCCTGAGGTATGATACTGCTACTATAAAAGCAGGTTAAGCCCATCGTAAACAATGCCCCAAGCCTCTTCCTGAAAACAGCCCTCCCTTGATTCTGTGAACCTTTTCTGTTCCAGATTATATCTGTGGAGTGCCTTTAAACCAACCCAGATTTCTCTTCAGTAGGATAGTTGGAGGTGAGGAAGCTGTACCCTACTCATGGCCTTGGCAGGTCAGCATCCAGATTTCAGCAGAACATGTGTGTGGAGGAGCAGTTTTTGCCAAAGACTGGGTTGTCACAGCTGCTCACTGCTTTAGTCATAAGTAGGTACATATGGGTAGATATTCCTAGTTTTCAGTGAGTAGTTCTTTATCACAAGATGCCCTTATGACGTGATGTTTGTGTCTGGAGTTTTGTTCTGTTAGGTCAGTTTAAAAGCATCAGCAGCTAATATTTTCTCATTCAATCTGATTGCTACATAAAAAGAAACTAAGACCTTGGACAGACATTATGCTTGAAGCACTTCAAATAGCCAGCAACTCACCTACACACCCTATAAAGTGCTCTAAAAATGGCTGAAGCAGTCAAAAAATATTCTGGATGAAACACCAACTTCTTTAAGGTGCTTCATTTTAAAGCACTCAGTTGTGTGCATGCTTAAGCATAACATGACAGGAGGTAGCTTGGTCCTCCAGCACTCCACAGTGCTCCTCTTTACCCCATCCCCCACAGGGTGACTGTGGGAAGAGTTGGGTAGACAGGGTGGACAGCCAGTGATCTCTCCTATGAATTTGGTCATCCTCAGCAGTGTCTGAAGCCTGAAAGACAAAAGAAATGTTTCCCTATGTGCCCCCATGGCTCTGGTCTTCTGGGTCTCGTGGGAAGGTGCAGGGCCTCAAGTCTCCTGGTTCTGGTACAGGGGCACTTAAGAATTTGCTGAGAAGAGTCGAGCCCCAGGACTCTGGAACCAGGAGGCACAGGAGAGCGATTACTGGCTATCTGCAACACTCTTTACCCCCATCTGTGGGGATGAGGTGAGTGGAGTTGCAGGACCAAGCAACCCTTGGCTGGAAAGCATGCTACTGAATGTTACTGGGATTATATTGAAGCGCTCCAACTGGGGGAAGGAGGGCATTACAGAGGGGCTGTACCTCTGTGCATGGCCTGAAGTGCTCTGAATTTGAAGCTCTCCAGAGTGTAATGGTTCTGGCAGGGGGACTTCATTTAAAGAAATCCACTTCAAATGTCTGTGTGTTAATGGCCTAATGAAATGTCTAATTCCAAAATATTTGTTTTGTTTTCTCCAGCTTTGGGGTGGAGGAGGGGTGCTTTTGGAATTGTCCTGTGCACAGGGACAGCATTTGGGAATGTCCTGCAGTGGCACCTACAAATCCAGAAGGTCCCCTATGATCTCCATGGGTCTCAGGCCTGAGCTAAAAGGCTTGCTGTTATTAAGGTGATCATTAACATTCTGGGCCAGAAGAAACTTCCTTTTTTTTAAGGAGTTGATTGTGGACCTCAGCAGGAGTATTCCTTTAAAAATATACCCAGTTGCAGAAAATAATTCTTGAGCAGTTTCTGGGTGATGTTAAGAGAATGTATATGACTGTGTTCATGGTCTTGTATAATCAAATATATCTTTGTGTAAAAGCGCATATAAATTAAGGAGCCTCTTCTTACTAACAGGCTATGTTTTCATGGAGTGAGGTGTGTGCGTTAGGGGTGGGGGAGGGGTCTATTTCTGCTAACAGCATCTTCTCCCACTGCTCTTACATATATTCTGAAATAATTTTGGAATTGTCTTAAAGGTTGGGGTAAAATTTTCAGAAATGTTTAGTCCTGCCTTCAAAGTGAGTTAGGCATGTAGGATTCTAAACCCACTACATTTCCAATGGAACATGAACATTAGTGACCAGGCCACTTTTGGAATTTCAGTCTTGGTTTTCTAAGTAACTTGGGTGGCTTTGGAAATTTTCCCACAGGTGTACCATGTTTCTGTTAAAAAATCTCTATAATCCCCTCAAATCAACATCCTTAAGTATTGTCTCATCACTCTGTGTAAATTGATTTACACAGTTAAATACTGCACTGCTTTGTTGCTGTAAAGGATGCTACAAAGCTATTCTGTTGTATATTTGGTCTGTGATTCTATAAAATCATTTTATTATTTTTAGGAGAAATAACCACAGTCCTCAAAGACCAGGGTTAAAATTTCTCTCTGTCTAGACAGCGGACCACACTGGTTTGCTAGGTGTTTTGCCAAAGCATAGTAACTAAAGAGCTCCTTCCTCTCTCAGCTCAAACTGTTCTACTGGCAGACTCCACTGGCAAGTCACAGTATTTCATCGTGCTCCTATTGAAGTCAATGGCAAATTTCCCTTGAATTATAAGAGTGATCTCCCCTGATTCTCCCTTGGTTTAAAATTAATCCAGATGGCAGGCCTTGCTTGATGGAGTGTTTTATTTTGGTAAGGTTAATCATCTGATACTCTTCAGAGTGCAATTAGCCCTGAGAATGTCCTTACTTTCTTCTCTTTGAGGGAACAGTACAAAGATTTATGGATGGTGGTTGCTGGACTCCATGATATTACAGAGCAAGAGCACAGTCAGGTATTATGAATGATGTCTCAATTGTATACTAAATGCATTTCACTAATTGATATGGTCTGGGATGCAGCAGCCTGGTATACTATGTGGTGGCTGAATAACTGCACAAATGTAAATGAAGGCCATGTATTTGCACAAGAAAGGTTAAGGGCTAGCACACTCTGCTCAGAGCAGTAGTGAAGCTCCAGACTCTACCTAATGCATTGCGCAAAGGGACTGGTGTATAGCTGGGGCATGCTGCAGACAGGTCTGCTCCAGTATTGTGGATTTACTTCTGTTAGGGCCTGCTAACTCTGTCCAAAACAACAATCATCTAGTGCAGATCCCTACTGCCATGGAAAAATAGAGAAAATAGTTTCCTGAATAGTCTCTGTTCCCTGTGTCCTAAAGGTGTGTATTCCTTACCTAGCATAAGAAGCTGTTGCTTTCAATAACTACTCATTAAGAATGTCTGCTCTTCTTAATGCTATGTAAAGCTAGAATGCTATAAAGCACCATGGTCCCAACTCACTCATGCATTGCTATGTCCTACCTTCTCTCCTAGAAAAGATCAGTGAAGCAATACATCATGCATCCAAATTTTAACAAGACCACCATGGATTCCGACATTGCGCTACTGCAATTGACAGAGCCTTTAAAATTTAATCACTATGTGCGCCCAGTGTGCCTTCCAGAGGAAGAAGAGGAGGTTCAGCCTTCCCAAGTGTGCACTATCACAGGATGGGGTGCATATGATGAAGGTACACAGCCTTCTCTATCATGGGGCTATGCAGTATGAACATATTATTTTAGCAAGTGCTCTTGGGCATGTGGGAAAGTTAATCATATCTTTGTTGGGCTTCTCTGGTTATGTAGATTGCGGGAGGGATGCATGGAAATAAAACAACCAGGTGGCATAAATGGGGGACAATCTCAAAGGGGGATATGGTGGAAGCATCATTGCTTTAATCATTTTACGGGAAAGCTGGACAAGGGAATGCACAGTAGAGGGCAGTCCTGCATTGATAGAGGAAAGGGTATTTTTCATCTACAAAGCTTGTGGCTAATTTTTAAGATGTCTTTCACTTCAAGACAGAGAAAAGACCAAAAAGCTTCAGCAGCTGGAAGTCCCCATCCTTGTGCTTGAGACATGTCAGAAGTACTATGTGAACCATTCTGGTAAAGTGACCCAAAGGATGTTCTGTGCTGGATTTCCTCAAGAAGAGGGAAAGGATTCATGTACAGTAAGTTTTAATTTAAAAATGCAGGTCTGTTTTTTATTGGGGAATTAGCAAGAGCTTTGATTTTGAAATGGGGAGTTCAGAGACAGGAGTGGTGGAAATTGTTTTACTGTGCACAAAGGAGGCTTATTAGATTAATCAGAAAACACTTTGCCATTCCAGCAGTGTAGCCAAAATGGCATGTACAAAGAACTGTTGAGTAATATAAGCCATTTTCCCTTGTGTAGGGTGACTCTGGTGGCCCATTAGTTTGTCCTTCAGAAGATTCAGGATTTTACACCCTCAATGGAATAATAAGCTGGGGCTTTGGTTGTGGAAGAAAAGGCTACCCAGGAGTCTATACAAATGTTGCTGTTTTCATGGACTGGATCAATCAGCACATGAGTAGTGGTATGTATGAAAACAAAATGAGGCAAGCTCTTTTTTAAGGCACCTAGCTTGAGGCACGTTTAAAGGAGTATGATTTAAGAGGGTGGATGCTGAATGCTTCCTGAAATTCAGTCCTCTTTCAAGTGGCCCAAATCTGACTTGCTGTTTATAGAAGAATCCTGAATCAATAAACACTTTTGAAAATCTTCTCCAGAATTCTTTAGGATGTATTACTACTCTTTATTTTTTTCTATTTCATTTCTTCATGTGAGCAGTATGTTTCTTTAATTCTGCTTGGCTGTTCTGATTTGAGGGAGGCAGGTCTGTGGAGGGAGTCAGGGGTGGGGGCAGTAGAATGAAATTACACAAGATGAACAAGGTTAGCATTGAAATGATATTGTAGCCATGACAATTCAGGAAATATGGGAAAAGCAAGGATTTTTTGGAGTGATATCTTATATTGGGCCAACTGCATGGTTGGGAAAGACTTAGACAAGCTTCTGGGTATTGCAGTAGCCTTCCTTGGGAGTCTCAAAGTTAACAAACATTTTCAGTGGAGTTTCTATTATTCCAGTGCATGGATGTGTGTAGCCTTAACAGATTTTAAACAGGAAATTTTACATTTTTTCTATTTGTTTTTTTTTCCCCTTATATTTACTCAGTTTCATGGTATAACACCCAAAAGCAATTCTGAAGAGTCACATTGTAATAGACTTCCAATACACTAAGCACAAACTCAGCCTATAGGTCCAAAAAAGAGAAAAATCAACCCAATGATTTCTCCTTTCAGTTGATGAGGTTCCACAGGGGTAACTGTGGGCGGAATTTGTCTTACACAACCTATTTATCTGTCTGAACACATTCCCAAATAGATTCCAAACTTGATGACAGTGGCATCACTTCAGTAAAATTAATCCTGATTGAACTGATGTGAAAATTTGGTTGTAGGTGGATGTGCCTATATAAAATTTAGTACTTGTATAATCACATACTAAATAAAGGCACAGTAGGCTGCCATGACAGCACATTAGTGTGATCATATCCTTTTTGTGTGATGTTTTTATGTGAAGTAGACTAATACTACTGCACATTAGTGTGTTAGCATGGTTTTTGCTGAGCTTGCTAATGTGCAGTAGAATTAGTCTACTGCACGTGAAGCATCTCATGTAGACATGCCTGGTATGTGCTTCAGCAGCAATCAAAGATCATGTGCAGATTTATCAAATTATATTTACTGGTATTAGAAGGATGAGAGAACAAACCACACGTGACAGATATGAACCATGTTATTTGAAGCACTGTTGGAATGCTCTCAAACTGCAGTGGAGACATTGTATGGATCCCTAGAGAGCTGAAAGCAAAGAAAGTCTTTAAGGCATCTATTCCTGCTCACAGTGAGCACATTGAAAGTATTACCAATTACTTTGATGGGAATAGAACTAGAACTAGAGCAGTGGAGGCTTGCCTTTTCATTCAGTAATAGGAATCAAGTGTTTGGGAAGCATACTGAAATGCTGTGGGTCAGCCTTTAGGGGACAGATCATATGGTGAAGATCAGAGCAGCTGCATTGACTAGGTGTAGCTGCTATGATTTGTACTAGTTAAGGATCTGGCTCCAACTGCTTAAATGCATGGTATTACTCTGCTTCCTTGCTGGAGTGGTTTAGGATGCAGAATAATTGACTCCTCTGTCCCTATGGTGCCTGTCTTTAGCAGCAGTAATTAAAATTAGCTATGATTTTGCCCATCAGGATTAGTCTTGGTGACACATTTAATCACAGAGATTCTTGCTGACGCGTTTACATAAAATATAATCCATGTAGAACTGAGATAACAGCTTTGATATGTGTGTGCCTTTTGCTAATATGAATACATTGTTACCATATACAGGCAAGACACAAATATCATCAAGCTATTCAGACTTTCAAGACAGAAGCTAAACTCAGCAGTGACTGGGAGTACCTTGTATCATATGCTCCAGTGGTTCTACCTTCATAATGGAATTCCTCTATGACTCTCAAGGACCTTACTTCTGTGACTCCTGAATGGCTTACAAGTTTCATGACTCACAATTAAGATTAAAATTCCTCTGTGCCTTTTGGACATTGAACTCCTCATTTTGTATTTGGAAAACTCAGTGGATCTGTAAGTTAAGGGACGCATTTATAGTAATAAAATGCATTTTAAGCCTTTGCATCTTTTTATAACAATAAAGCTTGTTTTCATAAGCTTATTAGGCCTGACTTGCCTTTCAGTCAACTCAGCTCTACACCAGTTTAACTCCTTTGGTTGCAGTGATTCTCATTAGTTTGATGAGAAAAATATCGGGACCATGATGCTTGGTTTTGAAACTGTAGTTTTATGAATTGCTAACATTTTATTAGTGGGTTTGAAATCAGTCATATACATGCATTAGTTTTGATTAGTTTGCATCTTTTACTACTTAGCCAACACTTTACTTACTGATTATGTAAAGACTGAGTAAGGCCTATGGATTTGGATCAACATTTCATATGTAGCATATCTGACCATATAATAAATTTGTGCACTGAAAACGGTTGCCTGAGATTTTGTAGATGGAACTGTTTGAGTTTGAAACTCTGGTATGGTGCCAATGTGGATTAAATAATAATAAGTGATTCACATGTGTAGGATTGTCAGACTTTAAACTTGACCCCAAGTATCCAAAATCAAGGTAAAAGAATGTGTTTCTTGATATGTGAATAAAGATAGTCTTCTGTGTAATGCTGCAAGAAAGCAAATTAAAGCTCTGTGTTGTGTTTACTGTAGAACAAAAAGAGAGCTTAATGTTCAGAACAAGTATACAGAGCTGGTGTATACAGACTAATTTAGCTGGTGGCATTGCTGTCTAACCAGGCGTCCTTTAATGACCAGCTGTCTGCTTAGGTAGCTCTGAAATGCTAGGCCTAGAGAGAGCAGGCCTCTACATGTGCTATTACCACACAGTTAATTGCTCCTGGGAGTAGGATTTACACATGTGCCTGGAAGCACAGCATGTTGAGCTAAGCTGGAGCAGCCTACCTGGCATGGGGCCCATAAGGGTCAGCTTGCCAGCCTAGGGCTGATCTGATCTGGCTCAACATGCTGCGGAGAGGCTGGCTGGGGCAGTGAGTGCCACAGTGTGGGGCTAGCCAGCAGGCAGAACTTGCATTGAAGCACTCTTGTGCCCCAACCAGCCGTGTGCTCAGCTACAGATGTGGTGCTGTGGAGTAAAAAACTCCACAGCAGGATAGCACTTGTATTTATAAGTACTAACCTGCTGTGGAGTTAATTCATTTCCTCCACCCTAAGAGCTCTGCATGTGTAGACATGAGATATTTACTGTAAAGCTAACTGGTCTGCTTTGCAGTAAATGTCTCATGTAGATGTGCCCAGACTGTGTTATAGTTCAATCCTGAAAATATTTAATGACAGGTGATATACCTGGTAGAAAGGGTTTGCAAGAATGAACCCTTAATTACTAACACAGGGAAACTGGTACCTTTTGCAAGGAAGTGGAGATCTTGCTCTAATATAAAAGCTTCTTTTGAGAGAGTCTATCCATTGCATTAGAAATGTATGCCTGGCCCTGGCTTGGGATTGCAGCAGATGTGGTCTTAAATGTAAATGCTGACTGTATGTTCACAGGAGAACAACTGAGAAGCACTGTGAATCTCAGCCCCTACTTGGGTTCTGTGCTGTTTTTCGGTGACTCCTTAACTCTCTGTTCTATTATATGCTGCCTTTTGCATGAAGGGCAGCATAGTTAGCTGCTATATCATGCTGCCCACATTATTTTCCTTATCTTGTGCTCAAGTGGAATCTAGATCACTAGTGGTTTAGGTTGTATTCTCTCTACTTTGCCTGGGAGCGGGTACAAGAGAAATTCCTGGCTTCTCTTTTCTTCTGACCATGCCCATTTGTTTCTGGGAAGGTCCAGTAGAAGATTTGGGGACATATACATATGGGGTTCTGTGGGATGTCACTCTGGTATACCCCATTTGTTTTCACACACCATTACTAGACCTTTTATTCCATTATGCTATTTGCTTCCCTCTATACCCTGTTAGGCCACAGAGTTTATATGCCCCAATCCTAATCTTTAATAACAAAACATTGTCTTCAATATTGGGCTCATAGACAAGGATCTTGTCTTTTCTTCTCAGAGAAAATGGGATAATTTTTTTTGCACTTATCCCAGTGCAAATTACCACTATGTAAAACAAGTGGGAGAAGAATGAGGCTATATGTTGGAGAAAGGGTAAGAATTTCATATGATTCAAAATTCAGCCTAAGATTGGTATGGTATGACTGATATTTATCATCAAATATTGGGGCAGCTACCAGATAAGTGTGGCTGGCAGCAAAGATAGGGAAGATAGGAAAGGATACAAACAGCCTAGAGTAGTAGAACAGATTAGGGATTACTTAGACAAGTTAGATGCTTTCAGGTTGGCAGGGCTGAGTGGGATGCAATTTAGGGTACTGAAGAAAATGGTTGAAGTAATTTCAGAGCCATTAGCTATCCTCTTAGACAACTTGTGGAGGTTGGGTGAGGATGATTGGAAAATGACAAAGATAGCGTGCATCCTTGAAAAAGGAAGAAAGGAGATCCAGAGAATTACAGATCAGTCCTCCTGATTTGAATAGCTGGAGATCTTGGAGCAGATTCTCAAAGAATCCATTGTGAAGCATCTAGAAGAAAACAGGGTGATCAGGAACAGCCAGCATGGATTCACCGAGAGTAAGTCAATCATGTCTGACCAACCTGGTTTCCTTCTTTCATAAGGTGACAGGCTCTGTGGATGCAGGGAGAGCAGTGGATTTGATTTACCTTGACTTGCTCAGGGCTTTTGACACTGTCTCCCATGACATTTTCATTAACAAGCTAAAGAAATACAAACTCTAAGTACTCTAAGATGGATACATAACTTGCTAGATCATTACAGAAAGGACATGGACAAATTTGGAGAGTCTAGCGGAGGGCAAAGAAAATGGTTAGGGGGCTGGAGCACATGACTTCTGAGGAGAGGCTGAGGGAACTGGGCTTATTGGGTGCCTATACATGAGCAGGGAGGCTGCTCTGATGTTCTGTAATTCCAGTGCCTCGGAGCAGACTTGATTAATCGAGTCGACTGAAGCATGGCAATTACTGCACTCCAGCAACTTCCTGCGTCTCATGTATTGGCATCCCCACTTTCAAAATGGCAGCAGGGACACTGTATCTAAAGCTCAATTGACAAGCTTTTGATAAAGCACCCCCACTGCCATTTTGAAGCTTGGGGACACTGATACATGAGGTGCTCTGCCTGATTTAATTAGAGTGGTTCTCAGAGTTGCTCTAATTAAAGTGCCACTCCCTTCCTTCCCCCCACTCCTGGAGCATGTGTGTATAAATGCCCATTTAGTCTGGAAAAAGAAAGACTGAGAAGGGATATAATAGCAGCATTCAGCTACCTGCAGGGTGGTTACAAAGAGGATGTAGCTAAATTGTTCTCAGTGGTGGCAGATGAGGAGCAATTATCTCAAGTTGCAACAAGGGAAGCTTAAGTTAGCTATTAGGAAAAACTTTCTCACAAGGATGGTAGTAAAGCACTGGAACAGGTTACCCAGAAAGGTGGTGGAATCTCCATCCTTGCAGGTTTTTAAGACCTGGCTGTATAAAGCCTTGGCTGGGATGATATATTTGGGAAGAGTCCTGCTTTGAGCAGCGGGTTGAACTAGATGACCTCCTCAGGTCCCTTCCAACCCTAATTTTCTGTGATTCTATGAAAGAGTCCAATACAAAGTGACAATAATTATTAGGGTCCAGGAACATAAGACTTAATGAGGAGAGGCTGAAAGAGGTAGGGTTATTTAATCTGGAGGAAAAAAGACTGAGGGATTTGATAACAATCCTCAAATACCTAAATGCCAATTACTGAAAAGATGGAGATGGGCTTTTCTCTCTGGCTGTAGGAACAGGCATAGGAACAATGGCCTCACGCTGCAGCAAAGGAAAATTCAGGTTGGATGTTAGGGGGAACTTCCTGACTATGAGGGTGGTCAAATATTAGAACAGGCTACGTGGAGAAATTGTGGAATCACTATCCTTGGAAATTTTCAAGATTGGACAGATGCTTGACTGGGATGGTTTAGTCGAGGACAATCCTGCCTTGAGCAGGGGGCTGGACAAGATAACCCTTTTAGCCCTACTTTCCTATGATCCTATGAAATGGAGACTTTTTTTTCACTTTCTACTATCAACAGTATTAGTAAAGAATCCTCATGTTTTATGCTCTAGTCAAAAGATTAGATAAAAATCCTGTCCTGAAATTCATCCAAGTTTTACAAGGTTTCTTTCTGGTCTTTATCTTATCAATGGACTTAACGAGAAGTTCTGTTTCTCTCCAAAAGCATAATTTAGGAGGTCACTAATAACCCAGTCCCATAGTTCTGCAATTATTTGTCACAGTATATATCTTGAAGGCCATTTGTTTGAAACTAAAAATATGCTGTAGATTTCAGCATTAATTTTCCCTCAAGAAGTTTGAAAGGTTCCTTTTTCAAGTGTCAAGAGCTGTTTAGTTGACTCTAAGATGCAAACTGAGTATCTAGAAACTTTGTTAAAAAAATCAATTTACTTCCATTATTCATAAAATTTAATTGCATGGTGTAAGTTTATAAATATGTGTGTCTGTATATATAGTTATATATACCACAAATTAACCACTACTATGGAATTTAAGTAGCAAAGCCACTTCAGTTAGTATTTTTTGTAACGAAATCTAACATTATTTGCTATATGTCTTGTACTGTCCGAAGTCTGTGGGTCTAGTTATGGTCCATTATATGTGGCTGACTTAGCATGAACAACATGTTCCCCTGCTGGCTGGGGGGGCATGGTGGCAGCAGGAGCGTGGTGGCAGTAAGCAGAAGCTCCCGCAGATACCCCTGGCGCTGTCAGTGCTAGGGGAGGGGGGTGGTGAGCTCCGAGCAGGGGTTGGTGACCATCCACAGACACCGCTGACAATGTTGCCAGTGGCCAGCAGCGATCGTGGACCACCCGCAAACGCCAGTGGTGGCAAGTGGCGACCACCCGTAAGCACTGTGACAGTGTCGGCGGTGCCTTTTTGTAGTGGGTGCACTGCCACGCGCAGGGCTTGCACGTGCACCTCCACGTACCCTCTGCACATCGCTCCTGTGACTTAGAATCC